AGGTGTGCAGACGGGGTGGAGCCAGCTCCAGTGCCAGGAACGTTACATTTCCAGGGACATTTTGCCACTCTTTGAGTTGAATTGCCTTTTTGAAGAGGGTTTTATGATCCTTTCCATTAATACGCCTCACCAGACAGCCGGGGACATGTTTCCTGTCAATCAGCCCGGTGCAACATCTGCTTTAGCCCTAAAAGTTTCTTAACAAAGCTAGAATGTTCACCAGTGTGTTGTTGTTGTTGTTTTTCTCTTGAACAGAAAAAAAGCTGCTGAAAGAGCAGCCTCAAACACTTGTGATATGTTTTCATTATGGGCGTACTGACCACATTTCCAGTCTATCCCGGAGATATTTTAATTTATTCCAATTTATTCTCACTTTTTGAAATTTCTGATCCAGCAACAATAACACCAACATTTGTTACGCATTTAAATGCAGCTGTGCTGTGCACACTATATTAACATAGCAAAACTTATTTCCACCAAATGTAATTCATATGTCTGAAATGTACTTTTGGATGTTTGTTTATTGTATTTTTTGCTATGATCTCTTTGAAAAAAGTAGTTTCTTGTTAAGGTTTTCCGCCTCTTGTCTCCGACATCAAAAGACTTTGAGACTTAAAGTCATTCTAAAAAATACTTCAGAAATCATTCAGAACAGAATAATATGTTAGATGCTTTGATGTTAGAAATGGCTTTTCATTCGTCTGTGTCCAGGGTCTCGTTTTCACATGATCCGGCTGTAGTCATGTCAATAAAATCACCGCCATGTTCAGGAGTAATGGGATTTAATTATACCTCATGACATATTTCAGTAATGTGATTTTAGCCAGCTCCAGCAGCACAAAAGAGTTTTCTTCATATAAAACCCACTCCAAGCTTTGATATGTATTAAAAAATGGCTAATTGTGGGTTTATTCCTCCACATATTCAATCTAAGGAACTGTACTGAGAAAAAGAGGTCTGCACACATCAGTATGAAAGCCTCAATTGCTTCCTCAAGCCTCTTCTTTCCTCACAGTAAATGGTGCCTATACTTTATTTCTGGGTTTTCCAGCCTGTCCGTGTTTTGTGCACAAAGGGAAAAGGTACCGAGAGAATTTCATGACTACAAAAGCAAAGGTTAACATTACTCACAGCATAAAAACAATTTAAAAGGGAGCAAAAGGGCTCTAATGGCCTGACAGTCTTCAAAGAAAATGTATTTTGCGCTCAAAATAATTCATAGCTTTTTGCCAGTGGCTTTTCAGCTTCCCGGAGACCCAGCATGAACCACTGTATTTTTCCCAGCAGGCTTTCTGCTCCTCGCAAAATGGCCTTCACCAGGGCATACCTTGCATCCCCTCCAAATATTGACAGCACCAGGTCCATCACTTATTGGAAAAATGGCTGTAAGTAATGTTTTATCAGCCGATGCAATCTCCACACCTGTATTTTCTCCTGTCATATGACAATATTTGACAAGATTAATGATTTGATCCGGTGGCATTTATTTCCCGGTACTGTCAATCGGCGAGAAAACAACTCACTTACTTGTGGCATTTAGTGTACAAAGCATGTGCCAGCTTTTTCTTTGCTTTGGTATTATTCATGAACTGCAAAGTTTAGTTGTGGCATGTAGACCACCGGCACAAACATGATACTCTGTTCTGTTTACGCGGCAGATTCTTTAATGATTACTCCATGTGTAATGATGATTGCTGGAATGAAAGCTCTGAAAAGTCAGGAACTATTTTTAGCGCAGACACCAACAATGATTGTGTCAACCAGCACCAAAACAAGTGGGAAAAAATAAACCTTGTAACCTTTGAACTTCCATAGCTCGAGGGGTCTCCTGTCTGCGTCCCAAGGGGTCCACACGTCTTGACAGCTTGAGTGATGACTGGCGGACGGTTGTCCCAATTTTACCAAACTATTTTTAACCCACACTAAACACAGCGCTTTGAAAATAGACTCAAGCTCTAAACAAATTATTAATAGGGCACTTAGGGTCTCCCCACTTACCCACTTGTTCCTTTTACAGCCAATAACGGAGGCCCTTTGGGGTCAAAAGGTTTAAAGGCTTTCTAATAAAAGTAACAGAGACATGGGGATGTGTTTTGGAGAGGAAAAAGTTGTGTCTCAGTTTGAAATGCTGACAAGTTAATAATCCCCTCTCAAATGGCCCTACCGCGGTAAAATGGCTAGTTTGGTCTTACTTTTATTGCGATCATCTGTCAGTCAATCACAACTTTTTTCTTTCCCTTTTTTTGTCTCTTGGACTGAAACAGCTGAACAAAAAGGTTCTAGCTGGGGCCTAATACCCCTACTTCATCCTTTCTTCTTTTAAAAAGGTGAACTTGTTTTAGTTTTAGGAAGATCATACATCCCTAAAGACATATTTCTGACATGATTACAAGCTTCACATTTGTAAGACAGTTTGACCAGACAGACAACTTCTTTTTAAACACCAGAAAGACACCATTTCTAAATCACTCCTCTCTCTTAAAACATGTGATAGACCAAAGATTACCTGCCAGTTGAATAAAAAGCCTGGAGAAAGTATCCATGTAATGTATTATTAAATCTTAAACTTACTCCAGGGTGTGTAAACTATGTAAAGCATGTTATTCTGTTATTCCTGCATTAGCTTTTCAAACCAATCTTTTCACTTTAAAAAGAAGGTGTGGGAACAGCAACAACTGGGGAAATCTGAATGCACTGAAATATGAACTAACACATTGGAAAACATGTAAATACAGATTGAATATTTTCAAACGTTTAAAAAAAAAAGATGAAATATTTAAAAAAAACAGCATACTTATCAGGCATAACGGCTGCCTCCATCACCTCAAGGTCAGTACGCAACACTGTGTCCATGGGCAGAAAATAGGTTTTTCATGAATAGATTTGCATCAAATACGTATTTATGACCCATAATAACTAATGTTTTATATGACATAGCAGATACAGAACTATTATGTTCAAATAGTATATATTTTTCTACCATTTGACTGGAAAAACATCTGTATATTATCGATCTTGTGACCCTGATCTAATGTACATTGTGATTTCAGATTATTTCCCACATCATGTCTTGCTCAAGGACACATCAGCATGACTGCTTATAGCTGCTGCAAACGGGCAACCACTTGATTACAACCACGACACCACCCCTCTAATTAGCTGTGTTCCATCTGTGAGCCACGGTTCTCGCCAAAGTCATTCCAGTTGTGCTTAACATTTCAAAAATGCAAACGCAGACATGAAAACAATCCATTGTGCAACGCGCAAACTGTTAAAAAACTTCACATAGTGGAAATTCTAAGACTTAGGAGTGTCACCAAAACCACAATGCAGACAGACTGTTCAGACGCAGTGGGATGACTCAGACAAATCTGCTCTGCATAAAAGGCAAGAAGGTGGTGAGAAGGAAAATTATATGGTCATTCTTTTGCAGATTCAAGATAAATCTGCTTTTCAAGTTAACTTGAACGTTTTTTTCCTTTTTTATTTTTCTTTAATAACGCTTCCCTAAAAATGTATTGACACATACAAAAACCATTATGCCTTGTCTTTATCAATTATGTGGTCTTTTAGTAAAATAAAAATAAGTCTCTGTATACCCTGATGCCTGACATCCAACAAAACACTTAGAATCTACTTACTTTACTCCAATCAGCTTGTCAAACACTATTCTTAATCATCATATATAACATGCACGGCATTAAAGTGGCATTCTTGTAAACACCATATCTGTAATAGTGTGTGACAAGCTGCCTTTTGTTTACACCATAATAACCGGGTGTTTGAATAACTTCTCGGGGACTTTAAGTAACGAGCCAGACTCACTCTGCTCTCG